TGAAAGAGTGTCCAGTCATCATCTCCTCCCTTCAGGTAACAGAGAAGGGGTCTCAATGCTGTTACTCAAATAATCATGTGACTTGCCAGGACAGTTTCCAAGGGGAGACTGACCCTTTGCCAGGTTGTTCAAAACGGAGAAGCATTAAAGTAGCCCAGAACAAATACTTACACCGAAATCAACATTCTCAACCACATTTAAGTGTTTAACCCTTGGCCAAATACCCATAGGGAGTGTTGAGTTTCAAAGGAACAGTATGGTACCCTTGGGGAGAGATGTTGGGTTCTAGCCTGGCTACCAGTGTTTGAGAAATTAGGTTGCCTGGCCTGAGGTAGTCTGTGAAAAAAGAAAGAAGGACGAGGAGGAGGAGGAGGAAGAGGAAGAAGAAGAAGGAGAAAGAGCAGGAGGAAGAGGAGGAGGAGAAGGAGAAGGAGAAGAAGAAGGAGGAGACGACGACGACAAGAGGAAGCCAGGTGCAGTGGTGCCATCTATAAGAGATGGGGAGATACGGTATTTATGTCACCCTTGGCTACATCTTGTATTAAAGGCCATCATGGATGACTTGAGAACCTGTCTCAGAAAAACAAAATAAAAAATACCAAGTATTTTGAAAAAGTACTTGAAGAGAGGTGATGGAGGATGGGAGCTGTCTGTCAGAGTTCGCTTTGGTCTAGAAGGAAGTTGAAGGTGGTATATAGTTTTCTACTTAGACTTAGTCAACTTTTGTAGGTATCATTGGTTTTTTGTTTGTTTGTTTTGTTTTTAAGTAACACAGAGACAGTTGAAGAGGAAACAGGTAGTTTCTGGGAGATTCTATGTGACATTTCGACTCCCTGACTCTTGAGTTTCTTCAGTAGATGTAGGTATCAGTGAAAGCTGGGCGTCTTCCTACCACAAGCATAGATGACTTCACCCACTCCCACTAGTTCGGCCTTAAGGTGGAGTAGACAGTCCCCTCTTGGGGGCTCCTGTGGACAGGGAGACAGGCAGGTGGTCTGAGTATAGTTGGACTGAGAAGGTGAGGAGACTGTAGGTGGCGCTGTTGTCCTAGGGGGACACAAATGGCCACTACAAGGCTGTCATAAAGCAGGAGCTGCGGCTTAAGCGTCCTCTCTCCATAACAGGTCTCTATATGTCTAGCACCTTCTCCAATCTCCCTTTACTTCCAACAGGTTCATATGTGGGAGCAGCTTGTCTTGGTCGTTTATTTGGGGTCTGGGCTGAGAGAAGTGGTGGACAGGAAGGGCAGAGAGGTGGACAGGGGATTTCGTTAGTGAGTTTATGTGCTGAGTAAAGGCCCATAGGGCCTGCAGTATGTGTTGTCCCAAGGAAGATTCTGGTAGTAGATGGCACACAGGAAAAATCAGAAGGTTCTGCCCTGTTCTCCACCACCACGACTGTGGAGGGGTCAGTTGCAGAGGACAGTCAGATCTGAGTGATGCTGTCATCATGAGCAGGGTAACAGTGCCAGTTTGAAATGAGAAGAGGGAGAATTTGGAAGTGGAGCGCAGTTGGGTCTGAGGACAGAGTGAGGGGCAAGGTCAGAGAACGCACATGAGACTTGGGGGAGATCATAGGAAAGAGAAAAGATAATATCAGAAGGTCTAGGAAAAGACAGAGGCAGGGGAGAGGAAGCCAAAACAAGGGTCAGAGTACAGAGCTTGAGGTGGCTTCTAGGGGACAAGGAAGCCGGAGCATCAGCACCTGAGCTGAGTGGGCTCACGGTAGATGACAAGTTCTGTCCACTCTGATGAGTACCATTCATTCACGCCTTCTCTGTGTGTTCAGATGAGCTCGGAAGAAACCCATAATCTGCTTCTTCAGTTGCAAGTTCAAGATTCTGAGGAAGAAGTGTGACCCCATGCCCAGTTCAGGTGACTTGAAATGCTCCTATACGGAAGGCAGGGTGGTGTAGATAAATTCCCCCGAGGAAGTGCTGCCATCATGTGTGGGTCCTTTGCCAACTCCCAGGGGAAGGAGAAGGGGTTCTCGATGGATATCCTGAACACCAGAGAGGTTTGGTGGTTGGATGACCCCAAAGGGTCTTTCTCTGTTGGATTCTGCTGAGTTACCTGGGAAGGATGGAGAGAATCTGAAGCCAAGGAAGGGGATGGAAAAGACAACCCAGAGCTTCCTGAGTCATCATCCATAGGTGTGTGTGGGACACAAGGGAGGACTGTCCCTGAAGGTGTAAGTCACAAACAATCCCACACCAGTTTAGAATTATGATGAATAGAATGGTTATTTATTCAAAGGGGAAAAACTTACGGATCACCGTCCCAGACAACAGCCCCTCTGCACGATCAGGAGGCGAAGTCGAAGCCGAAAGCCAGAGAGCGAACAGAGGATGCTGCTCTTTTAAAGAGAGAGAAGCCATGCCCCAGTGGGCTGGTATCTCAGCAGCTATTGGCTGAAGGAGCGGAAGGAGCTCCTGCAGCATGTCCCTATGTCTTACTGTCCCATATAGGACAGGACAGACAGAGAAAGATTGTGTTGGACCCGCTGAGGGATGAGCTCTCTCTTGGGGCACAGAGGACAGACCTGTCCACATGCCAGCCCACTCTTCCCAGCCCCACTGCCTGCCCTTCCTGTGGTTAAGGCAGAGTCCCTGCTAGCAAGGTCCCCAGAAGCTTGCAGGCATGCTACTGGCAGGACAAGAAGCAGGATCTAGGCCATGACTCAGTTTCTTCCAGGAAATGAGACCAGCAGAACCAACAGGAAGGCCAGGTGGCCCTGTAGAGGGGCCCTGAGAGCACTGAGGAGTCAGAAATGTTTAGAGCAACATGATCCAACTGAGGATCACTGAGGAAGGGCGGGATCTCCCCATTTCTGTTGCCTTATGGCTAGCAACTTCCCCATCAGTCAGATTCTTCTTCTCCTATATTGTGGATCTTCCCTTGTGGTTACAGACAAGATAGATGCGCCTGTCTTTCGGCCCAGCCCCCACCTTCTGCTGGGAGATGTTGTCCTGGCCTTGACTGCTTAGTCTTCAGCTCTCCCACTTTGACCTTCTGCCCTGTCTCATCCTTCACACATCCTGTGTTGTCCCCTTCACTCTTCCAGATGGTGATTGTAGCTTAGCAACTCTCAGGCCCTAGACTCTTTCCAGCCAGCCCTGTCTTGTGAGCGAGCTGATGTATTTCACAGATGCTGAACCTGTTTTTCTAAGAGTGGATCTGTAAAATCCATTGGGCTACCGATCCCTATTCTGCAGAGCTTGGCTGCAACCTCAGTTTGGAAACCCTTGTCCCCTTCACTATAACTTTACCAATAGACCTAATGTCTCGTGCTTTCAGCAATGTGGCCACAGTCATGCCACAGACTGACTCCCTTACAGGGTTTGAAAAATCTCAGGCAATAGGAAGTAGGCGGCAGGCCCCGCAGTTCCTATCAGACCCTTCCCACTCCACAGCATCCTGATTAGGGTCACCCCCCAGGTCCTGCTGGCCAAGCTCTCAGATCTGATTTGGTTTTCATATCCTATAGCTTGTTGTCATTGTTGGCAGTCTTCCAGCCACCTATTGTTCCTGGTGGCCCCACAAGGCTGGAGTTGAGGCCCTGAAAACAGTGCACTAGGTGATGGTTTGAGGCCCAAGAGCTAACCATTAATTTGAGGCCACACAACCCTTCCAGTCTCAAAGTCATCGTAAGCTAGTCCCTAGTGCAGAGCTTTGTGCTAAGGAAGAAAGGTATTGGGCACAGGCTTCTCAGGATGTGGAGGAGACAAACTAGACTGTCAGGAGGGCAGTGAACCATGAGGAAGACAGAAGGAGACAGTTGGTCTATGCTGGGGTCCAGATGTCCAAGGTTAGGTGCAAGCTGCAGGGGATGGGGAGAGGCATCAGGGATAGGGAAGGTGAGAGACTAGGGACACCCTCAAGCAGGGTTGGTTGTCAAGGGAGTGAGGCTGAGAGTAGCCAAGGCTGCACTGAGGAAGCCAGGCTTGGGGTAACCGGAGGCAGAAGGAGTCAATGGAGGATTCTTGGGTGCCTAGTTGCTGGTCTTCCCAGAAGTGAGTAGGTGGGGAGAGAAGCAACTGTTGGTAGCTTCTGGATAGCAGCTGGGGATGGTCAAGGTTACCCAGCCCAGTGAAGGGAGGGCAGGGCTATCAATCCCAGGTCTCTCTCCCTACTTGCAGCTCTTTGAGGAAATCCCCTTGCCCATGGCTTCTTGGCTTCTTGTACTGAGGCCCCATAGGGACCATCTGAGCTCAGCAGCAGGGTTAGTTGTCACCTGACAGAGACAGGACCACTTACAGGAGTTCCAGGAGTGCAGGTGAAAGGCAGCTCCACCAGGAATGCTCAGGCGTTTTGTTTTGTTTTGTTTTGTTTTCCGCTAAAAGACCTCCTGCCTCTCTCCCAAGATTCTCTGTATGTTCAAGGGTGGTGAAGTCTACAGAGACCAGTCCAAACAACAGCTCAGCTCATTGGTTTGCAATCTCCATGCTGCTTGGGCTTCTGTGCCCTCCTTATGCACCCCACAAACAAGGGGAGCCTCTCATGTAATCGAGCTATGTGGTTCTAGAATGATCTAGGAATCCAAACCCAAGGCTCAGAGGGTTGTCTCAATCATTTTGTCTCCCCTGCAGATGACGTGGGGGCCCCAGGGTACTTGTCTCATGCAGAGGAACCCAGTTCCTGGGTAGAACAACTTGAGATGGATGAGTCTGTGTTCAATCCCTGTGTCTGCCTCTGAGTGGCCAGGGGGCAGCAGTGTCCGGGTCTCTTGCTCATAAAAGAAGACCTGAAGGAGCAACAGTAGAGACTGGAAGAGGGTACCAGGGCTCCACCCCAGCTACACAGGGAATCCATCATGAGGAGGCCAGGTCAGACAACAGGGGTTGAAGCCCAAGAAACTCTTCTCCTTCTGTCCCTCAACAAGAACCAACCACAGGTTCAGCCTGAGTCTCAGTCTCAGTTCCTTTTAGCTCCAACCTGGGTCCTTCCTCCCAAGAGACAATCTGCCTCTGACCTCCTAAAGAAGCAAAGTCTAAACAAAGCTAAAGTTCCAAACAGAATGATCACTTTAATGACAGTATTAAAGACATCATCTGGGAGGGTTGGAAATATGTGCAAGACAGGATGTAACTGGACCTTTACCATAACCTCCACCCACACCTGGTTCATATATGTGCACACACTGACCACATCCTAGCTAGCAGGATGTGCTCTTATCAGAGGCCGAAAAATAAAACAAGATTTATAAAGAGGCCTGTGTCCAGGATAAAGACATCAGCAAAAGGATCTCCCAAAGGCCGGGGGGGACTGCGGGTGCCTGTCATTGGGTTCCCAAGCACAGGGTACTGTATTCCAGACAGTCGGTGGAAGCAAGGATGTCGGGAATGGGGTGGGGAAGACTTTCTCCGGCCAGAGCATACAGTCCATTCTCAGTGGAGATGAAGCTGCCATGTGCAGAGGCCAAGCAGGGAAGCTGAGGAGACAGGCAGTGGGGGTTTGTTGGTTGGTATGGGTCATCGGGGGAGAGGGGTGTGTCCCGGGGCAGGGGCTGGTCATGGTGGACCATAGCCTCACACAGAGGTGCTGAATCAGGTGGTGGGTAGGGGAGAGCAGCCAGGGATGCTTGGCTGGCAGGCTGTGGGGGACAGCTGGTGCCCCGCTCCAGAAACCGTCCTTCAAGCCTCACCTGCATTTGCATCTGTGCCTGGGTGCTGGTGGAGGATGGCTGAGAGTTACTGAAACACCTGGGAGACAGAAGAGGAGGAATCAGGGGCAGAGGGCAGCTAGCTAAGCAGTGTGGGAATGGTACTGGGCCCGTTCTCACCAACGCTTCTGCCGCCACAGCAGACAGAGTATAAAGATGAAACCAAACAAGAGAACCCCCAGGGTTCCCAAGATCCTGGTCAGGTCTCCTTGAAGAATGGGGCCTGGAGCTGGGGCAGAGAGTCCTAGAAACAGAGAAAGGTGTCAGATGGGCAGCCAGTGTCAAGGTCCTCCCTGTCTCCCCTCTTTCCCCAGACACACCTGGATCTGAGCTATTCAGGTCTCCACAGGCAACTCTGGAACCCTGAGGGAAGGTAACAAACTCACAGCAGAATGAGGTGTTGGCCAGGAAGTTTCTTGCCTTGGATTGTTCCAGGGTCAGAGTGAGAGAGACGCTGTTCGAGGTTTCCCAGCGAACCTGGGAGGCAGGGGCCCACTGTTGGGTGCCAAGTTCTGGATGTAACACGGCTAGTTTGGTCCATTGGGCATCGACAAATCCTTCCCAACTCACTGTTACCAGAGAGATGACGTTGGTTCCTAAGACCCCACAGCGAACTGAGAGGGAGAGGGATGGGAGTTTGGGGGCCTCCATCTGAACTTGCACCCACACCACGGGGCTCCCTGAGGAACAAAAGCAGGAAGGTCAGTGGCTGTGTCCCCGCACTGTCTCCTCCCCCATGGCTCTGCATTTCTCTGGCTTCTCCACTCACCTTTAGAGTCACAGAGGGTCAGCAGCGATGAGAATAGGACCAGGGCCTGGACCTGGGCCATATCTGTTTCAGGGAGGGCCTGTTTGTACCTGTTCTCATGGCAGACGATTTTCACAGTGTCAGCAATTAGAGTTACACCAGTGGCTCCCCACAACCTAGCCCTATTTCCTTTTTGAAGGCCCTATTAGTAATCAACTCCGGGGTAGCAGGTTCCCCCACTTAAAGTTACAGTATCAGGATTTGCCTGCCACTTCCTGGACCTGCAATGGTGGGGGAAGCTGTAGGGGTTACTGCCATCAGTCAGCTCTTGGCCTCAGGGATAGGAGGGTGCATGGCTGCTCCTGAGGCATCCAGCCTTATCCAGGGAAGGGGCAGGGGATGGAGCTACTGGAGAATGTAAGATCTTACATTCAGGAAAGCCACTGGAGACATCCAGGAGCCAGCCTGAATGACCCAGCACACTCTCCTTATTACATACTAGCAGTCCGCAGTTTGAGTCTGCAGCCCACTGTCCCTCCCCAGCTCCTGTCCCATATCCACCCAGAAACCCAAAGAGAGGCTTCCCTTGCGCCTTGTAGAGCTCTGCTTGTTGGCAGCCGACTTCGAGCTGCTTAGACCTGAAGCGTGGTCGCCTGAGGCGTTTTGTTTATCTCCTCCATCCTGCTGACTCCCAATCTAATCAGCTGACTTCCCTCAGCCGCCCTTACCACCATCTACCCATTTATGTCCTTATCTGCTGGGAAGAGAGAAGTGACAAGTTGGCTGACCTATCACCCCATGTCGCCCTTGGCTTCACTGAAGCAGCCTAGGTAACCCAGACGACACACGGGTCACTCCTTCACTTGCCCACCACTATTTCACTTGGAGCCAAAGCTTGACATCTCTCTGACATGCTCCGCCTCCCTTCTTGCCTCTCCCCACCCCCATGTGGTAGCATGCTGTGTGCTGAAGTTGGAGGTCTCAAGGACAAGTTGGCCCTTGCCTATGAATTCTGTCACAGAGGCAGTGAGTGACCCCACAAAAAAATTGTTTTTCTTTCATCAAGTGTTGCTTCAAATCACTGTACTGTGCAAGGTCATTTACAGAATGTCACAAACTGGCCAGGGTGCCTCCGTGCAGGGGGTGACAGGTGATCCTATCCAAGGTTCACAACATTGTGTACTGAGAACCTGAATCCCAGGTCTGCCCCAGAGCCCAGCTTAGTATCTGAGTACTGTCTTGCCACTTCACCCTTGTCTCTCCAAGCATAAAAACCAACCCTCATAGATGCCAACCAGAGTGGCCTCCAGGCCATTGCCCCCACAGTTCCCATTCTGGCCAGCATTCTCTCCATTCTTTGATCTAAGGCCCAGAGAACATTTCTGACAGAGGCCTGCTGTCATCAGTGAATGCGATAAAGCTGACTTACCTCAGAGAGACCAAGCCATGTAGGCCACAGGACCTTTGGAAGTTCTCATAACAAAGTTAGAAACGTTTTGAAAATTCCCAGCACCATGGAACTTCTGAAACTGTCAAGCGTTCAGAATGTTTTAATGCCGTCTTTAGTCATCTTATTAGCTGTTAGGTTTCAGACCTGGGGCAAATGGCTGAGATGTCTGTCCATTAACTATCAAAGTAGACCTGACCACTAGGTTCTCCCTATATCCCTCAGTCCCTATCTATCACAGGGCCTTCCTGGCTAGCTTACTCCACCCCTACCCTAAATTCTAGCCCAGGGGCTGGGCTGCCCTTCCCCAAGCTTCCCTTTCCTATATAATCCAACAATTTTGTCTGTCTAGTCCTTTTCTTCTACTCTCTTTTGGGCCTCCTGGATGTTGCACCTGTTCCTCTCCCCACTCCCCCCCCTGCTTTTCCTTCTTCTTTCCCTTCCCTCCTCTCCCCTCACCCCGCTTTCCCTTCTCCTTTCCCTTCCCCCCTCACCTCACGAGGCTCAGGGTCATGTCCACTCTGGACTCTCCCCCAGATGTCCCTGTCTCTGACTATGCTCTTCCATGTATCTACAACAAACTTTCTCCTCCACCTAGGAGCAGTCATGTTCCTCTCCTCTTTCCTTCTTTCATTCACACAAAGCATTCAGATCTTTCCCGGAAAGATGAGACGAGCATCAACCAACTTCTCAGTTCAGATGTGGAAGTCTTTGCAAAGGCACCACTTCCACCGGAAGCTCTGACTACCACAACCCAGCCTCCTTGTGGAAGTTACCAGTTCTTTCCTGGGTGTCCTTGTGCTTTCTGTCTAGTGGCTTGACCTCATGCAGAGAGAAAACCAGGCAGTGGTTTTAATAAGACTTAGTTCCTGAGGTCCAAACACAGGGTTATGCATGGCCCAATCCATTTAAATCCAGAATATTGGGGATCAGTGGGTCAAGGCACTTGATGACCTATGTTCAATCACTGGGTCTCACATGGTAGAAGGAGAGAAAAAAATTCCTGTAAGTTGTCCTCTGACTTCTATATTGCATGTGAGGATGTGCAGCAAAGTAACTGAAGAATGTCTTTATTATAGATAAGATATGAGAGCTAAAGTTAGGTCTTAAGTTTAAGTTACTGTTCTTAAGAGATCTATAAAGCAAAAATGCATCTACTCTGTAAGCCCCACTTGCCCGAGGACAGATAATTTTCTGGAATGCTGGGACTGTTATTCATGTAAGATAACAAGACAGGTTTTCACTTTTGTAACCAGGTTGGTTGCTCCAACTGTACAGGATATACTTGGTCTTGTGTAGGCAGGAAGCACATAAGCAGGATGTATAAAGGTCGGAAGCACAGAGCATTGTGGGGTTTGCCTTTATAATAAATACCTGACTACTGTAATTTGAGGCCATTTTGTGGGAATCCCCAGTATGGACCTGACCAGTGTCAGTTATTCTGAACAGTATTTAATAAAGTCAACTTCAAATTTGGCTCAAAAATTGAGGTTAGTGGTCTTAGCCTCCCCTGATGGAATTAACAAAGAGAGCAAAAATGTCTAGAGGCATCCAGAAGAATCCAAAACAGAAAGAAAAGGTAGTAGACTGGGCAAAGCCAAAGCTAAGGAGCAGGAGAGAACAGGGGAGATAGCAGGAGACGGAATAACAAGAGAGGGATAATGAGATTAGCAAGAGTAGGAGTGTAAAGAGGGCAGGGATCTAAGATGAGGATGGCCCGCAGGCACAGGGACTTGGAAATGTGTAACAGGTACTTGTGAATAGGGACCAAGGGAACCTGGAGGCCAGCGTGGACTTTAATACGCAATCACAGGTGTGTGTCCATGGAGAGTCACATGTTTATTTTGCCAGAGGCAAAGAAAGTGACTCCTTTCAATGGACATGAACCATTTCACAAGTTCCTGGGGGAGGGGGATGCGCTCTATCTATCTATCTATCTATCTATCTATCTATCTATCTATCTATCTCTTCCTCCCTCCCTCCCTCTATTTCTCTCTTTTACTGTCTTTCTCTCTTCCCCCCCATACACCCCCTAACCTCCCATACATCCCTCCAACACCCACTAAATAACTCTTTATACCCAAGTTCTCTCTATCTTTATGGCCCTTACCTGCCCTGGTCCCACACCACAGTGGGACCTTCCAGGGGCACTCCGCACCATAAATCATAACAATAATCAATTGTGATTTTCCTTCTGGTTTTTCTTCTTTTCCTTCCTGCTAGGCAGAGCCATCTCTGAGGAAGGCCCTGGCTTCAGGAGAGCCGTAACTGAAGCAAGAGTGAAGCTGATATTGTTAGCCCAGCGCTTGCTCTTGATTCAAACACTCAGCTTCCTTAAGGAAGCCTAGAGAATCTGTGGTTCAGATAAAATGCTTGAGAGAGGGCAGGGAGGAGAAGTGAACTCATGCCACAATTCAGAATAGCATTTGAAGGAAGAAGGTGTGCCAGAAGTGGGGGGAAGCCAAGCAGATTCCTGAAGCCAGATCTGGCACATGTCCTGCTCATACTATGTAGACTGAAGCCCAGAGGCACCTCACTCCACATGCCTTGGCATAGTCTTAGGGAAAAATAAGAAAGCTAGAGACTCAGAAATTAAAATTTCCACCCGCTGGGCAGAAGAAAGGCCTGAGATCTTGGAGGGAAGTGAAGCTATATTTCTGCCCCTCTGAGCTTGTGGACTAAGGCTTGTAATTGATACATTTTACTTTTACATATATTTTCCTTTTCTATGTGTATTTGTGTACACACATGTGTGCAGGTCTGTGGATATGGAGGCCAGAGGTCAGCATTATATGTCTTCCTTGATCACTCTCCATCTTAGTATCTGAGGCAGGGTCTCTCACTGAACCTGGAGCTGACCAATTTGGCTCCCTAGGGCTGGGATTACAGGTGCATGTGCCACTCCTAGCTTTCTTCCTTTCTTTCTTTCTTTCTTTCTTTCTTTCTTTCTTTCTTTCTTTCTTTCTTT